TGGGGAAATTCATTAGGATCAAGGACATGGGGACGGGGAGAATTCAGAGAGTAGGGATGAGGCAGAAATCATAAGCCACACAGCAAAAACACCTGCAAGTCTGTCCCAAAAGGGTATTAGGTACAGCAGTGTGGCTTACGGAGCAAAAGCCAGGCAGGGTCAAGTCCTCATGGGTAGAGTCGGGGGAGGGAGTCAAGACCCGTCTGCAGTGGGTAACTGAAGGACGCACGTGAGTAACTGAAGGGCACACGGAAACCCCAGCATCAGCCAAACAACACGGGTTGCAGACATCGCCTGGGAGTGATTTGACATGCAACGACTCAGCCTCTTGCATCTATTATGTCCACCCCATGTCTACTGCTGCAAGATGAAATAAAAGTATAACATTTAGAGGCTGCAGCATAATGCCTGCCCATCCATTCTTGATGCCCAATAGATGGCCGCCATGGTTCTAAGCTGGAGTCCGAGGAGCAAAGGTCTTCACTTGGTCTGGGGTCCTCACTTGACGGAGATAACTCATCGCAGACAGATGGCTGGTGTTAGATCAAGTGGTACGCTGGCTAGAAAGGTGCCCCATTAATGAAGGTGGTGTTCAGCTCCAGGAGAGTTTGCGACACAGCGCCGTCATGACAACATGGCTAATCCTGTTTTGGGGGATCACTTCATAGAAACGGCCTCTCTAAGCATGGAGAAAGTTGTGTTTGTTTTCTACCTTGGACCACAAGTTATACAAAGATCCAAGTGAGAATGTGAAATGGCGTACCTTTCAAATGCTGGACATCGGTTGTCAGGGCAGATGCCAGGTCATCCGTTGATACTTGCAGCATTCCAGCCACTGAAATTTAAGCAGTGTCATGAATGTGAAGTTAGGAAGCATTCTTGATACTAAGAACATTGTGGTTTATATATACACACACATATATATTGCAGTGCCCAAGTATGACACGCACACATCAGAACATGTGTGCATTACAGAAAAGTAATCGCTGCAGTGTTTGTTAAACTGAAGTTGAGAAACATCTCAGAGTCATCAACACATTATTAATAAGTTCTTGTAGCTCTGTACACTAAATCATGGCAGGTTTCTTTTCGAAAACCTCATTGCCTTTGCAGACGAGAGTGAGGTTATTATTTTTTCCCCCAAATTCCTTATTAATTCACTTTGTTACAGGTGAAGACAGGCTGTTGGGGACAATCTGTGGTTTAAAGGTAATTTGAAAAAAAAAAAAGTTGGGTGTGACTAGCAGTGCAGTTTTAGAGAAGAGAGAGATTGTTGGCTCAGTCATGGAAAGGAAGTAATTATTATCTGCTTAACATTTCTGAGAGCAGCCAGGCCCAGCATTCCACCCCAGGTGGAATGGGGTGGGGGAGGGGAGACAGCTCATCCAGAACAATGACAAACCCACTCCAGTCTGTACCCCAGAACCATTCGCACAGCACGTGAATGAGAACAGAAAGAGCACATCTTGTTAATCATACCCTCGGCCTTTGAGAAGAAAGAACAAAGTGAATAGCACATCTCCCCCACCCCCACCCACACCGAATTCTGCTCCTGGAGAAGCTGATTTTCCAACTGGCTTTCTGTGCTGTGTCTCCATCTACTGGCAGGCTCACGCAGCTGCATGCAGCTGAGGTTCATGAGAAGGTGGTAGCGCTGACCTTGCTCCAGAAGCTGGAGGTCAGAGACAAAGGCAGCATCTGTGTTGGTCAGAGTCGTGAACCGGATGTCTCCAAGGTGCAAGACTGCGGCAAGAATCATGAACAGGTTCTCCACCTCCTGTGAGTTGAAGAAGAAGAACGTGAGTGAGATGGCTTAGAAGATGGAAGACACACCCTTTATCCCCTCAAGTATGCCACCACAATGCAGGTCTTTTATTGGATCTCTGATTTTTCTGACCTACCTACAAAGTCGATTATGAAAACCAAAATGACTAATATCTACCACAGAATCCAGGGCATGTTTCTCTTCTAAATCAGTGTTTCTCTTTCTCAAATGTAAGAAGCTAAGTCTCATAGCTCAGTGCATATTTCCTCCAAATTAGTGTTTGTCTTTCTCCAACAGAAGAGCCTAAGTATCTATTCTGATGTGACTGAATGGTTTATAGATAATTATGGTAATAAAAACAGCACTGGGGTCATTTCATCTGTGACCCGGGCTTGTGGCTTACCGACTTAGCTGCCCCGTGCCTCACATCACAAGCTGATGTGAGACTACAGACTTGTTCACCTTTGGAAGAATGCAAACACCTACACCCGGTAAGACAATGTGCTGATTATTTTTAATGCACTTGAAGGAAAACTCGTGGGAACAAAGGCATGTTGAAAAGAACTCTCTGTGAGCAGATGGAAAGAGAGTGTTTGCCAAGGAGCTGGTCTGAGAACCTGGAATCCTACAGAGAGAAGTGGGGGCTTGAGGTTTCATTTTGGACAGTTGTTGTGCAGTGAGAATTAAGAACAATAAAGGAGAAGGATTCTCTCTCCTATCAAACACTTGGCGCACGGTTGTCAGGGAGTGAAACAGGTCAAGTCCACAGAGGGTGTGGTTGAACTTCTAATTTCTCAGTTCCCCAATCTGTAATTTGGGTGTGAAAGCCCCTGCCACACGTCCGTGAAAGGCATTCCCAGGGCCTGCTCCTCTGCTTTATGCATACACAGTCAGAACCTCGGACTTCCTCCAGACCAGCCCATTTTTACCACAAGTTCTGAGTCTGCCACCGCTAAAGCCAGGGCGCTGAGGTGGATTCTCTCGAGTCACTTCTAGCTCTGCTGCCTTCTCACGTGCCTGTCAGGTCCAAACCAGCCATCAGTGTCTTGCGTCAAATCCACTCTTGCCTTACAGGACAGCATTTTCCTTGCCTCCTAAGCTACTTGCTTTTTTTTTTTAAATTACCTTTCTCATAAGTCTCATAATTTTTTAAATATGTTCTGGCAGCTGTTTAACAGCCGCCTCTTGGTTCACAAAATTTAGTGATGAAAACAGAGCCGTGCAAATGGGCACACATAGCACACACTACAATGCAGTGACTTCCGACCAAGAAAAACATCAAGTCCTCTGGAAGACTGTCATTCTGTCCTAACCAGAGGTGTATGACCATCTGGGTGCTCTGCTGGCTGGGCTACAGTGTTAGAGATGGAAGGCAGAGAGAATGTATCTCTGGGAACAACCTCCCCTACACCGCATCCACTCACGTGGTTTGATCCGAGGGCCTCAGCAGCTCAGAAACGCCTTCCTTTCAACCCAAATGGACATAACCTCTCTTTTCCAAGTGGAATAATTTGCACCTTTCAACTCACTTCAAAGGACTGAGATGATGGCATGGATCTCATGTCTTTTATTAAATGGACATATGTCTTTTAGACAAAAAAAAAAAAAAGGTTACTTCGTTCTCCACCAGCCGCCTTCCCCTTCTGCAGCAGGTAGATTCTGCTGGTTCTGCTTTTGAGGATCAATCATGGATTTTCAAAGCCCTGTTTCCAAGCAACTGGTATTTTGGTAGAATGGTTCTCTGCCCCTATCTGTGCCCCCGTTTCCTCTAAGGAAGACCGAGATGTCAGGCGTGGAGGCATGGGGAAAACAAGAAGAGAAAAAAAACCCAACAACAGCGGGTACAAAGACACACAGCAGAGATGGGACCAACCCAGTCAGGGAAACACAGAGTCCAAATGTGAGAGCCAAAGGGACCAGACACCATCTGATGTCACACTTGTTTTAGAATCCCAGTCTCTTAACCATTGAGGATGGACCACAGAAGGTGCTCTAGAGAATTAATTTAGGGGGAGTCTGCTTCCAGACCAGATCCTGTGAGCACTTTTCATCCACTCACTGCCTTCTTAGCTATAACTGTGGGAAAGGGCAGGGGTGGGGGTGGAGCAAAACACAAAGGACCAGATCCACTTATTGTCTTCAGACTATATATATATGTTATCTACAACCGTAACTACATCTGGTTTCTGAACTGGTGGCGTGCAGAAGTCAACTCTGCGACCCTGGGTTAACTGTTTCTGTGGACTTGGCCATAATCTAAAATGCCACCATTGGAAGGGGAACCGAGACTACAGGGCAGGGCAAGCAGCACACACAGGATTCCGCCAGCTCTCCCGAGGCCTAACTCATGTCTAACTCAACAAGACCAGTGCTGTGCTGCTCAGTTCAGCAACTGCTACCACACATGGACATTTACATTTAAATTAACGAAAGAGGTATTAAAAAGTCATCTCTTCCATCGCACCAGCCCTAGGCCGAGCGCCCAATGCCACACAGAAGTGGACATCGCCTATCTATACAGCAAAAGACAGTATTCTCACCACGAGCACCAAAGTTTCTCTTGCATGTCAGCAGTCTAAAATGTTTCTGTGGCAGTTTCCTGCTATCCATTATTTCAGAAGAGTGCCAGTGAGCATGCTCATTGTCAGGACGATCCCTGACGGCACAAGCAGCCCCCTTGTGTGTTGGCCCATCCTGTTACTGGTCTGCACACTTCCTCCAGGGAAAGGCTCCTGGGCCGCCATGTTGGAAATGGCATGATTCCATTCTGGCAGCCTGGGTCTTCCTCCATGGCCTGTTTGGCCTGTGTCCCCGCAGGGATGGAGGCTCAGGGAAGGAGGCTGGGCCGCCACTGTTCCTCTGTTGGGTCACCAGCAGGGCCCCAATGATACTTGGGACACCAGAAATAGAGTTGGGTCTGGAAGATGCTTCTGGGGCATGGCTGTTGCACTCTGATGGAAAGCTGGCTTTCTCTGGGAAACACTGATGGCAGCACTCACCAAGCTGCTGAAGCCAATCACATTCAGCGCTTGTTTCAAAAGTGTGAGTTTCTCCCTGTTCACGGAATGCTCTGGGGTGGACACCTCTTCCCCTGTGGTTTGGCGCAGATACCTGTTAAGACAAACACTCAGCATTACGGCTTGGCTGAGAGTCAAACTCCCATGGTTAAAAGGCACTTTATCTGTTTTTGGTCTCTGCCATAATTGAAATCACCTGGACATTGTGTACTTGTCTGCTTACAGAGCTTTAAGGACACAAATAGCACATGACGTTTCAGGAAAGGGAAAAATAAGAGGACTTGTTGATCCAGAACATAATCATACTCTTCAACATGGCTTTTACCTCAGCTTCACCCTTCCCCGTGAAATGTGAAAGTTCAGAGTATTCTATATTTTCCTATGTAGAAAGTCAGCAGGCACTGTCATGGGCATTATAATTAACATTTGCATTAAAGATAGTTAATTTGGGGTGGAGAATGTAGCTCAGAACATTTGTTTAGGATATAGGAGGGCCTGGGTTTAATCCCCAAAGATGCTTAATTTATACTAATTTATAAATTAGATACCTTCATCGGTATCTTTTAATTATGATTCACTGATTGATTGAGTCTCCTTACTACATATGAATTGCCCACCAAACAAACATATTTTCTAGATTTCACTCCTGAGAGAGACCAGTTAGCCATTAAAAGTAGAAAGAAGATGGCAGGGAGGAAGAAAGGGTGAAGGGGTACATTATATGCACAGATAAAATGTTAGACTTGAACCAATTATTTTGGATAACCCATATACATTCATACGAGGTAACACCTGATCAAAACAGACTGAACTAATTCTGAAGAGTGAATTCTGTCCTGTTCAGGATGGGAGTGGGAAAAGCAAAAGAAACCAGATCAGAATTAGCAGAAGAAGGCATCAATGCATCTTAAGACTGAAGGATAGTGAAGGTTGCGGGCAGGGAGCAAGGAAAGGTCATCCTGCCAGCACAGGTCAGCAGGGCCTTGGGGCCAGCAGACAGCAGGGGTAGGTGAGGTGGACTCTGAGCACCGGCAGCCTCAGTCTTGGCTGGGAGAACAGAGAAAACTGGTTGGGGTGGCAGGCTGTGGACCTGCAGCGATGGAAGGACACCAGACCTGACACTGCACCCTGCGGTGCCTTGGGAGGGCAGGGCCGGGTCCTGAGCATGGATGGTGTGTGTCTGCAAGGCGTGGAGGACGCAGTTTCCCAGACCTTCCAGGAAAGGGGCTGGACACTACCTGCCCACCAGCGGTGGCTCACTGGGCTGAGGCTTCGGTTTTCCGAGGAGGGTTGGAGGCTGAGTGCCGCTGTGCAGTGTGGCTTTCTCCAGCACAGCGGAGGCAAGCACGGTGTGTGCTTCAGGGAAAGGGAGTCCAGCCAGCTAGGGTAGGGGTGGCGGGGTCAGCAGAGGCTGTGCTGGCCCTGCTCACAAAGTGGTGTCACGGTGTCCGGGGCTCTTCCCTTGGGGGACATAGGAGGGCAAACTGTGGATCCAGCAAAAGTTCAAGCTAATGACACCAATGAAAGACACCAATCAAAGAGAGTCCTTTGCCCACAATCTACCCATTCTGGTGACTAAAAAGTCAGGATGAAAAGAAATCACCAATGCTCCAGATCCTTCTGCAGCAACTACACACACACACTATACATACCAATTGAAAGTATACACTCCCCACAACACACACATGCCTCAGAATGCACATCCACACATCCAGACACCCAGGTGCACACTCACAACACACATACATGTGTGATGTACCCACACACAATGCCCATGCTCGCTCACCATAATCACACCCAATGCACACTCACCTTGAATGCCTATATACTATCTACACGCACACGCAAATCTATATTACACACACACACACACACATACACACATGCTCCTTGCAGCTGTTTATTTCTAGCCATATCTGACAGGTTCTGGTTCAAACACAAATTTATCTCTTCTATACTATCTCAAAGACTATCTACACGATTCATTCTCTCACATAGAATATTCTTGAAAGAGATGTCTTCCCACACCACTTCTTGATGGACTCAGTGGGTTCCTATTCCTTTGGGATGGGTTACCTCATGAATTATAGTCAATGATTCAAATGGCCCTATTTTTTTCCCAAAAAATATTCTTAAGAAAGAGTGAGTGAGCAAGCTTTCCCATGGCGTCTCAAGGGCTACTCTGGACTGCCTCATACCACATCAAGACGGAAGGTCCCACTGCTGGGGGAAGCATTTGACTCAGGTACAAGCCACTGCACCTGGCAAGGTTTCTTTCTACATACTAAACAGCAGTGTTGGCTATATTGGTTAGAAAATTTTTTCCTCCAGTTCATAGCTGGTCTTATAATTCTTTGAATGAGATCTTCTGAGAAAAAGAAGAGCTTAATACCATGACGTGACAGACCGTATTTATTTTCCCGCACATGCCTGAGGCCATGGTTGGAATTAGGGGAAGAATTTCTTGGCCTTATCCCAGATTCTAAAACTGCCTTCTTTTGTTTTTTTTTTTTTTGGTTTTTTTCTTCCTGAAATTTCATAGCTTCATGCTTTAAGTCTGTGATCTATTTTGAATTTCCTTTCGTAAGGTGTGAAGTTGTTTTTTTTGTTGTTGTTGTTTGTTTGTTTTTCCTAACATGGAGGCTGGAACCCAGCCGGGCATGTGCTAGAAAAGCACAGTGCTCCAAGAAGCAGCCCTTGCTGTAGCCCTCTGCACATTCGACCTGCGGATGTCCAGGTGCTCCAGTCACTTTTGTTGAAAGGCAAAGTTTCCCTAGTGCATTCAACTTTATCAAAGATCAGGTGGGTGTACTTGCCTGAGTCTCTTTCTGTGGTCTCGATCCTGTTACTTTTATCATTTGTCTGTCTGACTGTGTCTTAATGCAGCTTGATTCTTCTGATTTCATTCTCCTTTGCTAAGCCATTTCAGATCCTGTGTTCTTGCCTATGACTTTCATTAAAAGCCTGCTTATGTGTCTCAACATTGTTAAGACTTCAACAGGAATGACATTGGCCCTAGAACCGCATCTTGGAGATGACTGACATTGTTGCTATAGCCGGAGGCAGGCTGCAAACCTGGTTTGTCTTCTCTACTTTTACTTATCTGTACCTTGTAATTTTCAGCATACAAACCCTGTGTATAAGTATGCATGCATACATGTATGTATGTATGTACATATCTATCTATCTATCTATCTATCTATCTATCTATCTATCTATCTATCTATCTATATCTATGTATTGCTCTATTGTTTTTTTTTTTTTGCCAGTCCTAGGGCTTGAACTCTAGACCTGAACACTGTCTTTGAACTTCTTTTGCTCACGACTAGCACTCTACCACTTGAACCACATCACCACTTCCAGTTTTCTGGTGGTTAACTGGAGAAAAGAGTCTTGTGGACTTTCTTGCCTGGGCTGGCTTTGAACTATGATCCTCAGATCTCAGACTCTTGAGTAGCTAAAATTACAGGTGTGAACCACCAGTGCCCAGTTTAATACAAAGAATTTAATATTTGTAGTTTTTGCATTTAGCTAAATTCATGTATTGGCTTTAAAGATTAACATGGGGAAAACCCACCAAGTCCACCTTCTGGGATTCCTTAGAGGGCAAGAACAATGAATATGCTTCCAGTGTGAAAAACTCTTAACTCTGCAGACAGGAACAGTTTCCATCACAATTTAAACTTATTTAAAAGAATTCAGTTGCTACGCTGTTGACTACAGGCTGTTTATGACAAACTATTTCACTGGCCCAGTTATTTACTGCTCCAACTGCAAATTATATACTGCAGATGATTGATCTTCCTAAATAGGTCAATTATCTAGCCAACATAATTTGCATGCATATGCACATTTATGCATGCACATACATGTACGTGCATGTACACTTTCTACTTGTTCCTTGTACCATGTGAGGAAATAGTTAACATATGGTCATCTGTACAGTGACCCGCACAAGTGTCCCCTTTGAGCTTCCGTACTGCTTGGAGGTACTGGTGGAGAAGGGCACATTTCAAATGCTACAGCACCAGCTCCGGGCATCACTCTGAGGATGGAAAATTCAGGGTAGCAGCTATATGATTTGAAAATCAAGTACAAAGGACAATACTTTTCAGACAAGCCCACACTGCCACCAAATTTCCATAGCCCGTCCATTTCCTGTGTCTACCCCTATTGTCCCCTGTGCCTGCCCAGCGGACACTGCAACACACCCTGCGTGAAATGACTCGGGATGCCTGCATGTGTACTTGGGGATCATGGGGACTGGAACTCAAACATACCTACCAGATCTTAAAACTTAAAGTCAGATTTGCCCAGCCTGTCCACGAAGCTGGAGCTCACAGATGAACGCCACTCTGTTTTGCTTTGCTTTCGAGCTATGCCTCGCTTATACTTGATCCATCAACCAACCTAGCCAAGGCAAGTTTAGAGAGTGGAAGTTTCCAAGGACGAGGCAAAGCACGACCTCTCTCTACCCGCTCTGGGACTGAGAGAGGAAATTCTTTTCTTTATTCTTTCCAAACTATCTGGAACATATTAAACCATATTAAACCCCTCCCAGAGGAATATGGATGCAACTTTTTATTAACCACAGATTTAGATACATAAATCTCTACCAATGAAAATATTAATACATGAGCCACGCACAGTTTTGTTTCCTTGTCAGTGTTCCTCAGGAGAACACTGAATTCACCAAGTAAATCCACATTCAGACTTTGTATCGAGGGACATGCCCAGAATAGTTTATCCATGATTTGATAATCAGTCATAAGATTTCCTCAAAACATCTGGAGAAACAAGCTCTGCACCCTCCTTGTCTTGCAAATGGTGTTTGTGTGGCCAGTTGTGTGTTTCTTGAAATTGCCCGGTGGACAGGGTTGGGAGGGGAAGCTCAGGACAAAGGCCTTGTCCTGCCCCACACAACCTGAGTTTGGGCTAGGCTGAGCTTTATCTCTGGACCTCTCTGCCACAAGAAGGACTTCAGTTACATAAGTAGATCAGCAAAACAGAGGAGTGAGTAAGTCCGTGAACCATGCAGTTGCTCAGAAATGTGTGGACCTGTCTGTTCACGATGACAGAGGGCTCGGCGTGGCA